CCCACTTTGTGACGGCAACATGGGAAACACCAGTGCTCTCTAAAGAAAGAAATAGACTGTGTCTGCTTTCGCAAACAGCAGCACCAAAAGAATAAGTGTGACAGTTACTGCACCCTGGGCCGATTGCATCACAACAAACCAGGCTTTAAAGAAAAGGAAGAAACACTGTCTCCAAAGTGGTTGCTATTTTTGCTTCCTCCAGACCTGCACCTTATCTCACTTCCTGGATCAGCACGAGCAGAAAACTGGCCGCTCCAAACAAAGTGCAAACCAGCCGGTCCCCGCTTCCGAGCGGCCTGATAAAAAAACCAGTTCCCCACTCTAAATGCTCCAATTAAAACTTCTCGAGCTTTCTGTTTTGGCTCTTTGCTCCCGCCCAATAGGCTTCCCAGGTGGAGAGAGGCGCTCACGCAAATTACAGTCGCCAGTTAACCCTGGAGGAAAGAGGCTAATCAAAATTACGGTCCAAAAAATTTAAAAAAAGGTAGAAGAAATACAAAACTGTGTACTATGCATTCTTCATGGGCAGAAAGAAGAGAACTTAATGAGAAATAAAACCTCGGGAGCTTCTTTCTCATTATTTTTCTGTTCATTACACCTTGTACGAGCGCGCTATGCGACTAAGAGTGTGTTTGCTTAACTTTATCTGCCATATTTTTTTTGTTTAGTTGCTTGGACTGGACTAAGGTTACACTTCCACATTAGGAGAAATTTACAGCTGAATAATAATGGCTATTCCAAAACTGAATGCTGCATAGTCAAGTCTTGCTATTCGTGATAATTTTACATAATTGCAGAGTTGGATACCGACTCCAGTTTGCAACTATACAGCTCAAAAAAGGTATCAAATAAACCTCAGCTCTAAATCTACTCTCACATTATTTGACTATTTTCATCAGTTGCTGTGCCACTACTAGAGGCAGCGAGTTAAGCGAGCACTCCATACACTAGGGAGATAAGGCGTAAGATCTCTTCATAATAATAATTTCTTATTATTTGAAAGGCTTGCTCAACCAAGCAATTCGAAGAAACAAGTGTTGGAACTGTTCAAGAGAAATCAAAGAACTACCAAAGTAGCCACACATAGTAGCTAGTAGAAAGCAAACACTGACAATCACATCAATGCAGAAAGAGTTTATTGGAATGTGTTGCATTTTAAGGGGGGACACTACCCAGAAAAAACAATTTCTGCAAAAAAACATTCATTTTGAAAAATGTCACATTTACATCCACAAACATCTAAAGGGTATTCACAGAAAGTTTCATTAGATTGTACTGCATAGTTAATTTTTTTAAAATTATTTTCGGTCCACCAATGCTAAAGAAAAGGTAGAGGTTGGAGCACTTTGAACGCATTTTTCTCCATTCCATTTTCTGGCATAAATTTCACTTTAGGAAAACTATCGTTTTGTTATTAAATAACTTGGATTAATTTTTATGAGTTTTTCTGGGGTGAAATTTTAAGGGGAAGATAACTATGAGCTTGTATTTTTTATTTTCTTAGTTTTTCATGCTCAAAAACGAAAATTTTGGACAAAGGATGGAAATCTAAGAAACTGTATTTGTGTTTATGTGGCTTTTTTGTCATGAAAGATGGTATAACATAGAATTATAGCTCCATAGTTATCTGCTCTCAACTGTCCTAATGCAATATAACACATGAAAATGACAAATTTATAAGTAATTTCAAAACGATAGTTTTCCTAAGCAGGCATGCCCACTTTCATCTTTGAACGTTTGCAGTTTATTTTGTACTGCTCCCAGGTTAACAAAATTTGGCAGAAATGTTCTCAACATCAACAGAAACAAGCCCTGTAAGTATAATTTAAATCAGACAAGTGGTTCAAAAATTTACTTTTTTGGGTAGTGTCCCCCCTTAAGCTAGACCTAAGAAAATGATAAACCAGATAAGGTTTTACCTGGCTAGTACAAATCAATACCATTGTTTCAACCATGGTCATGTTTTTTTTCAATACAGCAGAGCTGTTGTAATTATTTATTAAAGTGAGATGCCAACAACCAAATGTTAGCTAGATTCGCACAACCTTCCACTGAAAGAGTCCTAATATTATACCACTTAGGTTCAATACTGAATGCTACACTAAAATATAGGTGAGGCAATTGTGTTCCAATAAAGGGACACTGACACCGCTCCCCACCCCAAAAACGATTGTTTTTTTGCCAGGCGATTTAGTATGGTGTTAGGAGACTACCCAATTAATATTTTGCTGCAAAATCACGTATATCTAAAATAAAGCAAAAAAACTCAACTGCTCGAAACCTTAACACGAGCACTCATGGCCAGAAATCACGTAACTACACCCGACCGTCACTTTTTTTTCCGCTTCTCCCACAAGGCAGACGACGAAGTTGCATGCACCATTTGTCGTGCAATTGTTTCGCATTTATATCCCTTCCGTTCTATGTTCTGCACCTGAAGGTCGATAGAACGGTACCATGAACGACAGTTCCGAAGTAGCGGCCCCACGTCCGTCACAATGTTGGTTCATCGTGCGCCGCCACTGCGTCGTCCAGCCCACAGTACGTCGCCATATTGAGAATGTTGTGTATACGGGTATGGTCTTCCTTCCCTTGACCTTTGTAACACTTTTTTTTTTTTTTTTTTTTTTTCAATCAACATATTTGCAGGTTTTTTGAGGTCACAAAGATGGGGTTCATTTTCTTTTCTGTCTTTAATATTGAATGTGTGCTGGAGATGACCCACGACTTTGAAAATATTTGATACACATAGTTTGAATGCCACGTAACCATGAAAGAGACAGCGAGCGCGACTGAAACCGGCCAATCCTAGACTGGCTGTTTTCGGACAGAAAGAAAACATATTTCGAGCCGCAAATTGTGTTCTGGGTAGTTGGGCTCTATAGGCCATGTTCAAATAGAAACCTCGGCAAGCATAAATACCCTGTCAGTGTCCCTTTAAAGGGGTACTCCAGCGATTTTTTGAGCCACCCCAACTAACTATATTTTTAAAATCACCAGCCTTTACACTTCCCGGTATGCTATTTAGTAACGCGAAGTTCAGAATAGTTATTGTAAGATCGGCAAGCGAAAATAATGCCAAACCCAACATTTGAATACACCCATGCTTTTCAGTGGCATGAAGTCAGGGGAAGGCAGGCTTGCAGGTCCAGCAGGCAGTCTAAAAATGGTTAATGCTGAGCATTTGTTTAGGGCCCAGCGAGCTTCCATAGCGTTCATTTGACACCATGAAACTCTTTGTAATCAGTTGGGAACAAAGTCCGCAGTCCAAAAAGTGAACCCCTGCCTTCCCCTGACATCACTTTTTCTATGTTGCCAGAAGAGACTTTTACCTTGGAAAACACGGTGAGGAACAAAAATGTAAGCTCAATAAATTTGAGAAAAAAAATAATTTTGGTTCAATATTTGGGTTACTGTTTTAGCGATGTATGTTTGTGTTTTTAGCCAATTTTCAAGCAAATCAAGGACTGTTAAAAAAAAACGCCAAAGTATTCATTTAAAAGGGTACTCCGGCATTTTCTTTTCATGACCCGATTTGCCTAAAAAATGTACCAAGCACACCAACAAACATCGCTGAAGTAGTAAGTTAAATATGAGGCAAAATATAATTCTCAAAGTTACTGAATTTACAATTTTAATCCTCGCCATCCTTTTTCAAATTGAAAGTCTCTACTGGCAACAACAAAAAAGTGATGTCAGCGGAAGGCAGGGGTTCATTTTTCTGGGCAGTGAAATTTGTTCCCAACTAATTACAAGATTGGTGATGATGCTAAATGAATGCTTGGGACGCTCGCTCCATCCCCCGCGCAGCAGCACAAAACAAACGTGCAACATACTCTGTTTTCAAGTATGTCTGCTCGACCTGCAAGCCTGCTCGCCAGTGACGTCGTGGCATCAAAAAGTGTGTATATGTGAATGATGGATTTAGCATCACCTTCATTTGCCGATTTCACAACCACTGTTTTGAACTTTGCGACACCAAATAAATGCCGGAAAGGGCAAAGGCCGGGAATTTACGATATAATTAGGTGGGAAAGGCTCGAAATTTCTTTACTTTACATAATAGGGCTCGGGTTAAAACTCTCAAAATTCATAGAGCTCATAACGTATATCGGTTTTCAAAAACTAGCCTTTGCAGATAGAGCACCGGTGAGACCAAAAACACCTCCTTCCCTCGAAAACCTCCTTTGTCCACAAAAAGAGAAACGGTGACGCATACAGCGCACATCTGGCGTCGTGCCCACCTTCCAAACATGGGACCCACTTAGACCCTCGCAACAGAGACGCGCTACAGCAAAGCCCCATTTACACACACACGGCACGGCGGTACCTCTGCACCGTTAGTCGGTTGTAGAAACAAAGCCGCCGACCTTACGACGACGTAGCACCAACTTTGTGCCACATCGGTGCACAATGCGCCATAAAGGATGGCTCACGCATTTGCATGTATCCAAGTATGATTTGCTCGCTCGCAACCACTCATTACGAGAAAACGTCCACCGGCTAGCCCCACACAGTCGTCAGAAATTTTTCAAGGCAACGATGAAAGAATGACGAGTAAAAAATTATAAAAATGTATTTGGAGATTCCAAGCATTCCTCGGCTACCTAACAGATGGCACCAGAGTCCCTTCGTCGTAAAAAGTTACAGAGGAGCGGAGTGCACTCGGGCAATTTCAAGCACAAATCTGCGAATGTAACTCAAGTGTGAACCGGCCTCAACCGACACCGCCTAGATGACAGGACACTAGTGCTGGATTTTCTATGCCACCTACAGAAGGCCAGCGCAGGGCACAGATCGGACACGAGTGCCGCGTCGGCGGCGTTCAATGGCAACCCGCGTCCTCATCGACCAAATGCAAATCCCGGCCGAACGCCGATGCGCACTCATACTTGACCTGTGCTCTGCACCGGCTTCTAATGGCGGGGCCCCGCCATCCGAGAGTTGGTTCCCTGATCCCCCCCCCCCCCCCCCCCCCCGCCCCGAGGAGCCCTGCTGACCTTGGAGATGAGCTCATCGTGGTTGGCCAGGTGTGCCCTGCAGTGGATGCAGCTGTAGGTGCGGTGGCAGGTGGGCAGGTAGGCCTGGAACGTCTTCACCATGCTGGAGGCTGGCTGCCCGCGGTCAGCTGACGCCACATGCCACCGCTGGCAAAGGCTCCACACGCACAGCCCGCTGCCGCTCCACTCGGGCCTCGCTCGCTAGGGCCAGGGCTCCTCCGCACGGCACTAATTCTGCGCAAGGGGGCGCGCAACAAGGGCCAAAACTCTGGAAAGACCGGCAAGTGGAGCACACTCGAGGTTCCGGATTAATTAAGCCGACTGAAATCCCAGAACAGCCTTTGGCAAATGCTCTATTAATGTGAATTCATCCTAGAGAGCAGCGGTTCTCAACGTGGACGTGTCGGGGACCCCTTTGAGACCCACCAGTGATGGGGGACCCCATGCCATGGCGGGGAAGGGGGGGTGGTATTAAATAAGACAACTATCGTTGGTGAGAGGCTGAAGCTTCTCCCACCTCTTTCTACTCTAGCAGAGCGAACGCTGGAGAGGAGGCGACCTAATCTTTAGAGTTGGCTCTGCCTCTGAACTCTTAACTTGTCCCCGACTATCATTGCAGTGTGAAAAGGGCATCCTTTACTGTTATACACAGGAGAAGTGAGAAGCATCAATTAAAAGGATGAATGGATCGACATAGACAGGAGAAGTGAGAAGCATCAAGCAAAAGGGTGAATGAATCGACAGATGGCTGTACCCTTTATAATGGGTGGTAGCTTGCACCACCTAGCCAGGGTCAACAAGCAACATTTTCTTTTTTCAAGAGGGGGTTAAAAAGAGGGGGGGGGGCAAAGTTGAAGTGAGGGCTTTGCAGCCCTCAACGGGTCCACAGAACGCTATATGAGAACCACTGCTATACAGTATACTATCAGCGAAAATCCCAAAAGGCCGCACGCAGTCCTGTACACCTCTCCTTGCCCCCGCAACATCTACCGTGCGACACTGAAGAGAGTGAGAGAGGGAGAGGGTTAGCACAGTTGCCTGCCTGCCCTCGTCAGCTCGCCTGTGTTCTTCCGTGGTCTGTTACAACCGGTTCTGTACAGATCGTTGGCGACATTTCTTTCGGCGCCACAGACGGGGCTGCGGGTTTTTGCGACTGATCTGTCGGCAACGTGCTCAGCCAAAAGCACCACTGTGGTCAGCCTTCCACGATTGGTCAAGGGCCCACTAGGATGTCTCTAGCTGGATTTATTCTGTTTTTGTCTACGGAAAAAGGGAAATAAGAGTCCAAGTTCGATGGTGTTGCAAGTAAATGTGCAATGACTACGAACGTCCATCAGGCTCTTTACACACACCACCAAAGTTGTTCACAAATGATGGTAAGTAACCGGAACCACAATTTGTAACGCCAGAATGAGGCAAATCCTTGTTGTTACGTCACAGACAGGAAACATACGAGGGTGCCACTGAAAAATGCCGGCGCCAAGGGTCTGCTGTAATGAAGAAAATGCGGAAAAGGCCCCTCCCACTAAGCCCTCCTTCCACTTCACTGGAGGGGACACTGGAAAGTAAACAGGAGGAAACAATCGTGGTGAGCACGGGGCCTCGTGAGAAAGGTTTCTCCTCCACCTCTGATGCTGCAACAAACTATAAAATGCTTTAGATTCCACATGCCTTGAAGGTTCAAATAGAGTGTAAATAGCCCATATGAAGAGTGACGTACGTGTCTGAATAAAGCTGCAACATACGTCAAGGACCACTTGATCGAGAAAATGTACTGTGATGTATGTATGTGTTACAACAACTTGTAACCCATTCCACCCAGCCTTTCTGAGTCTACAATTACAACATTTTTCTGATTTGGTGAGCACTCAGAGGGAGAAGATTATTTCGTTTTCTCCTTCCCTCCAAATGTCCGACAACTTTCAATCTAATCAAAATAACCCTCAAAGAACTCCGCATTAGCCTCCGATTACGGTAAAAATAACTTGGAAAGCGAAGCTATGGCTTCTCATGAGCAGTGTTCTGGAAGATATGTTAATGCATTTGAGAGCGCACAGAGTTGAACGAACACAGATGCAAACCAAATGCCTCAATGCAGTGCAACAAAATGCTTCCCACGGCATGGTCGTCGACTGATTTTTTAGACTTTGCAGGGTTAAAAAAAAACATCAGAATAACAGAGCACTCCGAAAAATCGGCAGGCTGAAAAACCTGCCTTTATTACGTCAAAGCAGGCCTAAAAAAAGCCGTCAATAGTGCCTCGCTTAGGGTTACGCCTGTGCGCCTTGTCTCAGGTTATGCCTCCGCTTGCATTTGGCCACTTTCTATTAGCTTGAGATTCATTGCCTTCTTTTCAAGCGTTATGGTCAAGTACTTTCCGTGCTTTTTAGCGACACTTCGTAACAGCAGAAGAACGGATGGGGCCACGACGTCCGAGCCGACGTAGTCCGAAAACACGTTCCACCAAGATGAGATGAGAGGCGCAAGTCCACGACAGGTGCAGCGAACATGGAATCTAAAATGGCGGCTTCTCGGTGCTGTATTTCGCCAACCGCTCAAAACAATTTAGTTTGAAAAATTTAACTTTCGGATTTCAAGCTGTCCGAAGCATTAGTCATGAATATGCACTCTTTCTATCAGGTAGGTCACGGTTTCTCCTTTAGGTCCGAAATATCGAACAAGTCCAAATTATCTGCGCCCGAAAAATCTGTCGGCGAATGTAGTGTGCGGGTGTATGTAGCAACCTGATTAACCTCTGTGCAATTTTAAATTTCACAAAAAGCAAAACCTTCTTTTCTCTTTAAAAAAAAAAATAAAGAACAGAGAGGATGTTTTCCATCTGAGAGATTTTACGTGTTGTTGTCTTCCTCCATGGAACAGAAGCACTGTTTTAAGAAGTAACAAACCCAATTATACCAGCCATTACCTCAGGAGACGTGTCACTTTTACGAAATGATCCTTACAGTTAATATCAGAAGTAGAGCAGCTTTGCAACAGTACAAATACTCTTGAAGCATGCACACACACAAAAAGAAAAAAGTTCACTTTTCTGCAAAACGCAGAGACAGCCAATCACAGCAAATGATAGGACTCCAGTGAATGACAAAATTAGAATGTAATTAGATCTCAAAAATGAGATGCACAGAGAGGACAACGGGTGAGTGAAACATCCTTGCACACACCACATTTTTTGGGGTCTAGTCATATTCTGAGCTTTGTCATTCGTTAGGACCCTTCTACTGTTTGCCGTGATTGGCTATCCTCGCGTTCTGTGGGAAAGTGACCTCACAGATGCTTTCTAGAGTGTGCAGGGAATCTTCTAGTTTGGTACGAGCATGTAATGCGTAGCGTCAGATCATGCACGAGTCACGATCATAGGCAGAAATGCGCTTCCGACCATGGTGCCATTTTCCGGGCTTGTACGTACGGTGCGTCCTTTGCTCGCTTTTGGTACCGACAAACATGTGAGTGCTGAGCTGTGAAGATGGCGTGCTGAGCAGTGTGATCTTCAAAGCCTAGCATTTTGTAAACGAAGAGCTTCTAGACAGTGTGATTGTCAGCATTTGTGCATATACCGGGTACATTGCTCACTTTTTGAAGTGACGAACAAGCTTGTGCTGGCCTCTAAAAATAGCATGCTGGACTACAATCTTTTTAAAGACAGAAACAGTGTATAAGCATGTATAAGCATCTTTCAGCATCTGCTCACTCGTACGTTAATAAAGCGTAAAAAAAACATTGTACACCACTTTTAGCATTTTATCAAAACGGTCCCATGGTTTCCTTAAGTCTCTTTCGTAATTCTTGTTTTCTTTCAAACATATATTATTTGCGTGCAACGTGAGCGAGAGTGCTTAGGCATGGGGCATTACTTAAGTGAAGAGCATGTGTGTGCAGGTTTGAGTGGCCCTTAAGCTGCACAACTGAAAGGGCACCGGTAGCTTCAGCTTTATAGCCACAGAAAGTTGTGCCCAGAAGGCAGGCGCGGACGAGATCAGGTTTGCCGGAGAACTGCAAGATTTTCTCGCCGTCTAAAGTATGGGTCTGAACAACTCATCCTAGAATGATCAAAGCTGCATGTGCATCAGAATATTAATGTCATCTCACCGTAGTCAAAAGTAGACACAGATTGGATACGAGCGCTGCATCAGTGTGCGGCTGGAAATCATGTCCAGTCAAAGTGTTGATGGACGCTCAGCGTTGAGCTCAGGCCCAATCATTGAACTGGGGCCATTCGAGTGTGATCACACCATTGAAGAGGAGGCCGTTCACAGGCACGTCTGAGACAATGATACAAAGCATGTATGACGTATTGATGCCGTGACAATGCGCAATGCCGACGCCACACGTCTCATTTTTACTCTCAGAAACGATGCAGCGAGCAACGGCAGCAAGCTATCTCAGGAAAGCCACCCAGCCAATCCAGCTTGCTTTCTATGGCATTTCATAAAAGGTGAAGAGCGAGCGTGTAGCTTTGAGCGGCGCTCAAGCTGCGCGAGTGCACGAATGCCAAGTGACCCTGTAAGTGTGACGTCACTGCTCCAAACAAACTGTTTCTAGGGCATCGTTATGAATGAATACATCGGACTGGATGTCGCTTCAAAAGAATGATAGCTCAAAAATCAAACATGGGATCTAAAAATCTTAAAAGAATGGATAAAGGAAGTTCAGGTTTCCCGCTTATAATGAGAGAAGTTTGTTGACAATCGACTGCTTCTGAAATACTTGCAACGACATCTTCCAGTCTTCAAGACGTCTCAAGATGCATGTCGCAGACGACAAACACACGCAGAATGACTGAAGTAGCCGTATGCAACACTTTGAGTCATTTGCATGATGATACAATTTTGATCTTTTATTTATTGGAAACATTGCAAGTCTAAGAAAACTAATCAGGTCTATAAAAATGAATTGTATTTACATGCAATACAGGATACTGTCTGGTGAAAATCCTATCACATTTATGAAGATTTGCTAAAAATGTAGCAAAAAAAGCATCTGTTTAGTACATCATATTATAATAATAATAATAATAATAATACTTTATTTACTGAAAAGAAATATTTTACACAAGATAGCGTACTGGCCCACAAAAGCAGAAATGAGCTATCAAAGCAGCATCAGGCTTCCTTTTTGATTTTGCACTTGACATGCATTGTACTGAAGGTGCAATTATTTTGGCATGACTGGTTTGAGACCCCGAATTCTGTTTGCAGGCTCGTAAAATAGGTGTC